AAAAAAAAAAAAAAAAGACAACCAGATTTCTCAAAATCACACAGCTGCTGGTATCAGACAGGGACCCTATTCAAGTCAGTTCCACAGACAGCTAGATTAGAGTTGTCTTCTATTCAGTAGAACTGGCTGTGTTTATCCCAGTGAGGAAGCGGTACCTAACAATGTTGATTTTGTATCAGGTCATCAGCTTGGCATTCATGTGACTCAGCATGGACAGGGAGCTTGCATCAGCGAGACTGCACCATTATCCTTCACCTGCCCACGTGGTTTGGTAAACATTCGGCATGTAAAATGGCTTAGTGACTCATGGCTGAGAAATAACAAAAGCATATGTTTGAGTGATTTTATCATTTTTAAGATAAGAACTGTCAGGTAGAAGAGAAAGGAGGAAAACAGTTTGTGTCCAGGAAAATAGATTTTATTTTAGTCTTACTGTGAGGCTTCTCAAGTTGTGCCTCCTCTGTCTTCCATCAGGGTCACTGTTGATCCTGAAGTTTGTAATAATGATAATCTGCACTGGTTACCAGCGCTGGTTCCTGTGAGGAAAGGTCATGGCCACGACAAACTCCAGTATCAGTATCAGAGCTTTATTAGGAGAAAGAGAGTTGGGGGGAACAAGAGAACCAGGAAGGAGAGAGAGAGAGAGAGATAGGGGGGTGAAGAGAGAGATCAGAACAGATAGAGAGGGGATGGGGTCTGTGTCTGGTTCTTTAAGCTGCAGGTGAGCTTACAGAGCTACACCATGCATGCTAGATTGCTTGACCACTCTGCACATATGTAATCATGAGCGCACACTGATGACTTAAGACACAAGACCCCAGACCCCTTGCAAAGCTCCTGAACTGTTTATGTGCGGTCATGCAGCCAGAGCCTGGCAAAATCCCAACAAATGTGTTGTTGAATCAATTGCCAAGATAAGAAATGATTTTAGGCTGGGATAATTTTGAAAAGAGGCAGCAAGTTCCACCTTCATCAAAGTATCTCATCTAGACTGGCGGGTGACAAAGATTTGTCCTGACTGTGGGCAAGGTAGGAAAACTCTAGCTACATCATGCCCTATTGTGTGAGTGCTGAGGATGGCACCCAGGACCATGTGCACGCTAGGTAAACAACGGACCCATTGACCTTCATCCCTAGGCTAGGGAAGAAACATACAATAGGAAGAAAAAAATATATTTCAATACTAAGTTTATCATGTGTATTTTTTGAGGCTGGTGTTTACTATGATGCCCAGGATGATCTTAAAGCCCCGACTTCAAATGTTACACCTGCCTGGGCCTCCTGAGTAAATGACACTGTGTGTGTGCACCTCCACGTGAAATGTGTTTCTTGAGCAGATTCTTGGCATGGCTCCTCTGCATGCCCATCTCCGTAAGCATTCATGGAACATGCTGCTGTGTATAGAAAAGAGCAGATGAATGGGGCCCCTGCTGGAAAGGTGGCCACAACTTCCCACTGACCTATGAACCCAATCTAGAACCTTCATTTACCTGAAACTGCCTCTAGAGCTGATGATGTTTGACCACATGTGCTGTGCTGTTCCATGCACATCTTGGCTTCATTTTTGTTTTGTGAGATTTTTATATTTAGCATAGAACTGA